AAATTATTTAATTAAGTATTATAGCCTGACCAGGAACATAAAAAAACTCGCCATGTTGCGGAAAACTAATGGTACTAATTTCTTTTAATGGCAACAGTAACTGAAAACTTCATTGACATGTTTATTTATTTATTTATTTATTTATTTGAACACCAACAAGGTTACATTGAGGCTTCACAAAAGTAACTATAAAAAAATGACACTTGTTAAATGCAAACTTGCATGTCAGTCTATTGCTGTCAAAGTGTAAACAAACTTTATTTTAAACTAGCTGACCCGGCGAACTTTGTTCCGCCTTAATGGCAATAAATAAGCAGACTTTTTTTTTTAATTTCGAACGGGATAAAAAGTATCCTATGTCCTTCTCCTGGCTCTAAACTACCTCCCTGATAATTTTCAGCTAAATCGGTTCAGCCGTTCTTGAGTTATAAGTGGAGTAACTAACACGACTTTCTTTTATATATATAGATGTGCGCAATTGATTTTGTGAATGAAATTGCTAAAATCTTTTTATAGTCGTGAAAGAAAAGTGGTTCACAATGTGTTAAAGTATTTGTCGAAGAGAAATACCAAGGGTTCGGACAATATTTTCATTGAATAATGTTTCCAACAAAGGTTATCAAATTGACTGACATGTTTATCGTATAGTACAGTCCACTATGAAAATTAGCTGTGGTTTGTTTCAATTAACTATTTTAAAGTTTTTTGTCACTTTCTAAGTGTTGAATTTTATGGAATTGGGAAAGAAGTGCCGAGTTTGAAGCGTTCATGAGCAGACATTGCAGTTGAATATTCAAGTTCTGAATTTGATTATTGATGAATAATAAAATAAATCCTACTAGCTCGATTGATGGTTTCATTTCATTTATTTAAACCACGTTACCTATAATAATATTTTTTCGTTAATTTATGAAAATATCAAATTAGCCCGTAATCCTGAATCCTGACATAAAGTTAGCCTATTAATTTAACACAGGTACGACTGTACTCAGTGTTGCACTATCAAATGCAATTGACGCGCCTCTATGCCAGAGTTTTTATGCCTCTGTGCCAGGGTTTTGTGGGTCTAGACAAAGTGCAAATTATAATCGCAAACCAGTCGATAAGTGGTCGAAAAGCCCCTTTTTTGTATGGAGTTTTGACGGATTCGATTTTCGATTCGATCAAAAAGTGCGTTTTGTCTAGGCTGGTCAGGCTATAATTTTAATTTAAGATATTGAAAAATAGTACCTATTACAAATACACTTGTGTCGCATCTTGATGCTACAGTGTGGAGCTTGATTTGCTTACGTCTTACCTGTTCAAGAATAACGCCTTTATACGTCATAAAACCTTATCTTTGTAGGTAATTTTAGGCGTGTTAAACGTATAAGCTAAGTGTCATTATACTAAAATAATATGTTGATTTTCAGGTCAGTACTTAGGTTGGTATTGCGTTGATAAATCGAAGTCCTTCTTTAGATTAAGTATACCTATTAGTTATTCTATAAATAACAGCTCGCGAATATTTGCGTGGGTCTGTGCATTTATAATAAAATTTTATTGGATAAACAAAAGTTCGACCTTATGATAGATGTCATCGCTGTGTACAAATTACTTTATTGTTATGTTTTATTTTAACTCTGATATTTATCTTGGTAGAATGTCTTGATTGTGAAAATATCGGAAACTACATAGGTACTTATGTCCTATTTTTGATTATGCATTGAGATATTTTGAGGCCCAGAGCAAAATATAGGATATTTCGCCCATTTGCGACGACACTGTGACATCTCGACATATACGATTNGAATTTCATACTGCGCCATTTAGCCATAAAATAAGCAACAAATATCCATGTGTTATGGTTCCTAGCTTAACGGATATACTACTTATTTACTGTTTAAACATACATTATTCATAGTATAAAAATGATTTTAATGCAATAATATAATTTTATAAAGTAGGCATTGTAATCAGCATGTCACCTGAACCAAGCACAGATGAATCAAGTATTTGCCTTCGTCACACCGGGTTCTAAGCCAACCAGCTCCACGTCTGCCTTCTAGCTCATCCGTTGCAAGATGGGCTTGCCTGCACGCCAAAAACCAGACTCTCATGATTAAAACCTGACCAGTTATGATCAAGAACAGCTCACGCCATATGAATCAGTATTTTATGCCGGACACTGTTTATTTATTTTTTTGCGAACAAACTAACTTAATTAAAATTATGACACATTTTTTTTGTAGAAGGACAACTCATTAGCTTTCGAAATAATTTTAATTTATATTGATATATCAAAAGGAAAATGCTACATCAACCATTTTGTTCCGGAAAATGGCTAACGGACACACCATATGAATCAGAGAATCACACTTCAAATATTTTTAATTTGTATAAAGACAGCAATTAAGTCAAAAATGTAATTTGCGCCAGATAGGGCTATAGCTAAGCTATACGAAAAAAAATATTACATGCCATTTTATTAGTTGGTTACTGAACTATACCCAAAGACATCGAAAATTTTGCCCCCGAAGAAATACCCACAAACCGTTCTCGCGCTAAAGTTCGGCAAAGTAGAAAATATACGTATAATTAATGACCCTCTCCATGTCCAATGGNATCATGGTAATGAGTTAATGTGACATGCAACCATAAATTATATCGTACTAGCTTTCCGACCGCGGCTTCGCCCGCGTGGAATTTTGTCTGTCACTGAAAAACTTTATCGCGATGGGACAGGGACGCCCTGTCTCAAAAACCGGGATAAAAACTATCCTATGTTCTTTCCCGGGACTCAAACTATCTCTATGCCAAATTTCATCAAAATCGGTTGCGAGGTTTAAGCGGGAAAGCGTAACAGACAGACAGACAGACAGACAGACAGACAGACAGACAGACAGACAGACAGAGTTACTTTCGCATTTATAATATTAGTTGGGATAGTTGGGATTGTAAGCCACAAAGTTTGCTTAATATCATCGGAATATTATCCATCCATCCGATATTACGGAACGTGGAAAAATCATCTAGATAATAAATTATATTTTCATAACAAAAAAAACAACTCTTAAGCGATGGTTTAAATGATGAATTTTGTAATGCAACCTGGAGGAAAATTATTATAGTTACTCTTAAAACTGTAGTGTAGTAGATAAAAAATTTTACTCAAAGAAATCTTTGAATGCAGTTAAGAATCTTCAAAAATAAAGGAATGTTTTCTTTGAGTAAAATTTTATATGTACAGTATTACGATAAGAGGTAACTTTCCCTCCAGGTGGAATTACAAAATTCCACCCTGTTTAAAGAACGAGGAAGCTCTCGGCCTGCATCTTCACTTAATGAAACATGACTATCACCCGGGATCCTCAACCATACCTCTAACTGCCATTGAATTAAATGATTTTTTAAAATTAAGTGTTAGGTACTTTTCATTATGTTTAGTCGACTTAAGATATTGAAAAATAGTACCTATTACAAATACACTTGTGTCGCATCTTGATGCTACAGTGTGGAGCTTGATTTGCTTACGTCTTACCTGTTCAAGAATAACGCCTTTATACGTCATAAAACCTTATCTTTGTAGGTAATTTTAGGCGTGTTAAACGTATAAGCTAAGTGTCATTATACTAAAATAATTATGTTGATTTTCAGGTCAGTACTTAGGTTGGTATTGCGTTGATAAATCGAAGTCCTTCTTTAGATTAAGTATACCTATTAGTTATTCTATAAATAACAGCTCGCGAATATTTGCGTGGGTCTGTGCATTTATCATAAAATTTTATTGGATAAACAAAAGTTCAACCTTATGATAGATGTCATCGCTGTGTACAAATTACTTTATTGTTATGTTTTATTTTAACTCGGATATTTATCTTGGTAGAATGTCTTGATTGTGAAAAACATGTGTAAGTAATAAAAAGCTTGTAATATCGGAAACTACATAGGTACTTATGTCCTATTTTTGATTATGCATTGAGATATTTTGAGGCCCAGAGCAAAATATAGGATATTTATTAATTTTACTAGGCGTTTTATCCCGGTTTCTGAAAAGGAGAAAATGATAAAGTCTTTCTAGGACAGACTGAAATTAATGCGGTTAAAGCCGCGGGTAAAAGTTAAATTATAACAGTTATATGTAGATAGTTTCATTCGATCAATTTGTTATTATGAAAATGTACTGTGTATCAATGTATAATGTATAGTGTGTAACTATATGTATGTCCTATCTTCGTAAAACAAAGCAGTAAAGTGTTATTATGCGATTAGCTTTTGACTCATCTCTATAGCGTCACCTTTGCAACTTTGGCTAGCAATGCATTTTATAGCGCGAAGAAAAAAGGAGGGTTATTTTGTTAACAGGATATTCTAATGATTCTTTACCACAAACTTCTCAAAACTTAGAACAGATAACTTTTAACATTTTATATTCAGACTACTAAATGTTATTTCAAAGGTTAATGGCTACTGCAATCTTAGTTATCTCTAATTTAGCAAATATCTCAAAGGTGTACATTGGTAAGTCGATAACTAAATTATCAGCATGTAGATTAAATGCATCAGTTGAATGAAACTTCACAATTACTTATGATTTAAGTAAAGAAATTGCTATAAAAAGCTAACCCAATTCATGCCTTCTTATTCTGTTATTATTATTTCAATATGAAAATAGTAGACATACATAATGCTTCAATGAATAAAAAAAGCCATGACACTGTCCATTTTCGCAAAGCTGTGATATATTTTGTAGGGTAATCCTTTTAAAATAAAATACTGCATGTAACTCCAAGGTTTCGACGATAGTGTCAAGTCCTACGATTTATTAAGTGTCCGAAGTGTATTTCTTATTCTTAAAACATGCGGTCATAAATTAGGAGCTCAGTTACATATACATAATTTAATTGAATTATTAACGAGGATTTCGAGTTTGAAGGAGGCGTCCGCGAGAGGGCGGGCGGTGTCATCTGCTTTGAAGTCGCTGCGAAGTTCAATTTCATGTTGCACCGCCACTCCGTATAAAAGCAGCGGCTGCCGATCTGAAAAATCATTCCCGCAACACACATCCACCGAAGATCATCAGCTCTTCCATTCATTTTTAAACAATAACAATGAAATCGGTGAGTGCATCAGTGGTGATACAGTTACAAGTGATATTAGGTTGATAACGCTTCCAAAAGTGATTGAGTGATCTAAATAACAAAACTGATTTAATTAACAGTCATTCATAATGCTTTAATTGCCGCCAAACTAGTTGATAGATAACTTGATTGATAACTAACCATATTAATTTATTTCTGCTTTGTGGTCCAAAAAATCATTAATCTATTTATACAACAGCTTTACGAAATGTTTAAATATCAATACTGAATTAAAATCTAGGTTACTAAAAATACTAATTTACTTTTTAAATTACAATGAAAACATTGATAATATTTGGTTGTTACTATTTAATTAACTTAAGTGGTTCATATTGTAACTTAAACAATATTTTCGTTAAGCATGCCAATAAAATTGTGATTTCATGAAGCTCGGATAAAGCAACATTTAAAGTAATAATTAAAAAATATGTAGAGTTCAATGGCTCATACAAAGTAGGCGTGATGTTGTAATCTATTGTATGCGCAAGAGTCGCTACCGGTTGTCACCTCATGTCTCCATCAATGGCTTCTCATTCCCGTGCCCTGTTGTTCATGAACACTGAACAATGCCGATGATACGATACGTCCAACAAAGGACAACATAGAATCTGGTAGCATTTTTCCCACATAAATTACTTTTTTGACTATTACCCGCTCGCAACAATGCAATATTTTTATTGCATAGTTAACATAACTGCCTAAATGATATGTTTTAGTATTTTAACGCTTCGATATAACAATAAAATTGTTTTGGATTATATGCCATTTCGATAGGTATTTTATTTTGCAATAGAATATACCTACTGACCTCAAGATGTAAGCGAAATTAGTCAAGATTGATATTTATTTCTGCCGTTGTCACTGTTTGTCAACATTATTCTGTTATGTAAGAAAGTGGATCGTCCACGATACGAAGGCTGTCAAGTTCATCAGTAAATAAATATCGATTGCATGCCATGGCAGCCTTTAAATAACACTCAGTTCTAAGCACTTTTAGTTAATACTAGTAATTCCATGTACCTATGCGTGTTTGTTTTATTGGTTGTCCTAATAAATAAAATAAATTAGACCTTAGTCCTATTACTTGGAATATATTATACTAACGCCCGTATTCACAAACATTACTATGAGGTCTCACAGTGCGTGTGGAGTGCGTGGACGCACCCCTGCTGAGACACACGAACCAATCACAGAGCTCTATTCAACGTTGTGCGTTCGATTTTCTCCTTCATTTAAGCAGTACAGTCCATACAGTCTCCGTCGAAGAAATGCATGAAAACACAATAATCCATGCTAAGTGGCAAACCAGTGTTAACAAAGAAATATATTTACAGTTCGTGGTTCTGTCTGTCCTGGCCGCTGTGGCTTGCGCCGCTCCTCAGTTCCAGTACCAGCCGCAGTCTCAGTACCAACAAGGACAACAAATTCCCATCGTCAAACAGTCACAGGAAATTAATTTCGACGGTTCCTATCAATACAAGTTTGTACACACTTTGTTCATTAAAATAATACTAGTAAATTTTAAGTTATAAAGTCCATTAATACTTTTCTGTACCATAAAAACTTGACGAAAGTACAAATTCAATATTTTTATTAGACGTACGCAGAGCACACGAGTACATAATCCCAATATAGCTTGCCCTACCGCCACTTCAGTTTCAGCATTAGTTTTTATTAATCTTACTGAAAGGTATCCCTAGTACCACCACACACCTACCTATATGTATCATGTTCACTAGAATCAAGTGTAGGTACCTGACGTTACGTTACCTGATAACGTTCTGGGCAACAAGTTTCTTTTCTGCTACCCTGTAGATATCTTCTTTCCTCCTTGTTCTCTTCGTTCTCTTAACGAGTTCTACACATTGTTTGGATATTTCTGATTTGATTTTATCTCTATCAAATTGTGTAATCGAAGTCTATAAGATTATAATGGGAATTCTCGAAGAGTCAAGTATATTAAGCGCTGAATTTGTAGAGTCATCAGCGCGCCCAGCCCTACTTGCGCAACAAATTGGCTCAGGTGCAACGCGAATTAACATTTTAATACAGCTTAAAGCTCGTATCAGACTCATATTGACATATCACCCATATTTTCTTGTTTCTCGACTCATCTGAACAAAGTATTTCGTAGTTCAACAGTTGTTTACGAAACAGCATTGCAGAAATATCTACTTACCTCGTCTTTTTCCTCGGGTCGTCAATTTCGGTCTGTCATTTGGTGAGTGTATCCCAATTTATGACAATGAAGGATGATTTTGGGTATAAAAACGATCTTAATGTTCTTTCCGGGGTCTTCAACTATAAAAAATATTTTACGATATTATTGTGCAAACAAGACTATTGTTGGTACGATATTAAGGGCTGTTTTTCTACATAAAGGATACGAACGTTTCCGCCAATAAAGAGTTAAGAGTGATACGAATGTTTTGACCTGTTTATTGTTGGTACGTGTAAAATGCATCTTGGGCGAACGAAAACGTTCTGGCAGAACCTCTCATTAGATTTGATCTTTACAAGTGTGTGGAAGTTCGCCTCGAGCCGAGATAATTCTCGTTGTTTATAGAGCTATGTGATTTATGAAACCATTTTGCAATAATGGTATCAGTCTTTACTTGCACCATCCTGTTGTGTTCACGCGATTTTTTTACTATAAACTCACTTCCTTGTGAACAATTGATTTCTTTTTGACTTAAATTCGTAGGGGGCGTTCACAACAGCCCTCCATTGCGTACGGTCTTGAACTTCACGTTTGATCTCGCTCCAAGACATACCGATTTTCTTTGCCTCGTCTGCTACTGTACGCGGCCAAGTTTGCTTGGGGCGATCATTTTGCGTTTTCCTTGGGGGTTCCCAATCAAGAGCCTGCTTGGGGATGTGATCGGGATCCCTTCGGAGAGTGTGGCCGATCCAGTTCCACATGCGGCGCTTGGTCGATAGGAATTTTGGAAAATTTTGATTCTTTTTAATGTTAATGAAAACTTTTTTCAGCTATGAAACTGGAAATGGCATCGCAGCTAATGAGCAAGGATACCTGAAGAACGCTGGCAACAAGGACGCCGAGGCTCAGGTTGCTCAAGGCTCCTTCACATACACTTCTCCCGAAGGAATTCCCATCTCTGTCAGCTACATCGCTGATGAGAACGGTATGCATATTATGGACAGTCTACACATTAACCCGCCGACATGAGTTGTCGATTTTTGATATGTTATTAAAATTCGATTTTTTTCGATTCTTTTGGCATGTTGCGATATGCGCAGGTAAGCCTAGGCGCAGACCACACACTTTTATTTGGCCTATAGTTGGATCGGGATACATTACACTGATTGGTTTTGTATCGGACGATTCTTCATACAGATTATAAAATTGGGCCCAACTATCGGCCAACTAAAAATCGGTGGTCTGCGCTTAGGCTAAAACTTGTCGATGTGATTCTTATGAAATAAAGCCGCTTAGGAGCGGGCAGGCTAGGTGTGTAGAGTCCTTAAGAATACTGACTTGATAAAATATTATATTCTACCGACTAGTCGGTCTTTTAAATGTAGATACAAATCTTTATGACATGAGTGCATCTCATAGTTTACATTACTTTGTCTCTTAAACATAATCTAGCTTACAAATGGTATCCATTACTGCCTACATTAGGATAGTGACAACATCTCCGTGTCTAGCATACAAAGTCAGTCATGCATGCGTCATACGCGTAAATGTTCAAATACTTAAAGTATTTTTTAAATATTTTATCAATATAAATATCTCATTAAAATTAGCTGGACGACATTCGGCTGAAACGAATCGTTCGTTTAATTTGTAACAATTAAATTTATTAGAATAAAGTATGGACATGACTTGAATAGAGTAAACGTACACTGATGTACCTAAAGCTGAATTGTTTTCGACTTACAATAAATTGTATCTTAATATTTTTACATGTTCTGTAACATTATTACACACTTACAAACAAACATTTCAATAGTTATTAAATTTATTTTAGCCTTACTAAAATAATACTAAAGTATGATTTTCTTGACATAATTTTAAGTCAATCATTGTACGAGACTTTGCCAATCAATCAATTTCATGATTTTTAATTTGTACATAGCTTACTAATAGATTTGTTTTTAATATATTAATTAAATTTTCAGGTTTCCACGCTGAGGGTGCCCATATCCCCACCCCTCCCCCAATCCCAGAGGCCATCGCCCGCGCTCTCCAGTACATCGAGTCCCACCCCCAGCAACCCCAGCAGGCGTTCCAAGCCCAGCCCTTCCGCGGCTAAGGACCCAACATTTTAATGTCCCAGCCACAAAAAAACCCACGACACTGCCAATAAGGGAAACATTGAACTGATGTAAATGAATACTTAGTATAAGTATCATAACAACTTTGTTACCTACTGTGATTTTTATATTATAAGAATATTAAGAGATTAATAAAAAAAACAAGTTTATCTGTGTTGTTTATGTCTTACGAACTGACCTATTTACCTCTAATTTGTCCAGAAATAATAATGTGAAATTACAAAAGTCATGAAATAAAAAGAATAAAAAACACATTAATACAAAACATTTCCTTGAAATAAACCATTCTGTTGCGCAGTTTAAAATGTACCTAAGTGGAACTAATAAATATGTATAACACAACACGATTTGACAGTTAATGCCATCAGTAGTAAATTAAGAGCTAACAAAAGCTATAAATATCCTAAATAATGCATAAGCATTAATTATGCTCCCAGAGCAGCTAAGATAGGCAGGTCAAAATTTGTGCCAAATAAAGTTGATCTTTTCTTTCTTTCTTTATGAGTAGCAAAGGCAACCTTTGAAGTTTAAACTCAGCTTATTTATTAACCAACTCCATCAAAAGTTGAAAGTAAGTTGAAAAAACTACTAATAAATGATAAGATGTACTTTATTTTGATATTTTCACAACAATTTCAATTGAAAAGCTATACAGTATGGAAGCTGAAAGCATGGAAATTTTCGGATAGATTCAGTTTATTCTGTAATCTATTTATTGATACCGTTTGATAGAGCTAGTGAAGCACTTTTAGTAACTATTTTTCGATATCTTCGTCCCTCGCATGAGTAACTATCCTATCTCAGTCTTTTGGCGATTTGAGTTAGGACTACAATTTTTTTCCTGCTTCCATTGTCTACGATTTTCTCTAACTCACGTATCTGTATCATCTGTATGTACTTACATTGGTTCTCAACTTATAGACACGTGTGTAGCTAACGTATCTAAACAATAACTTGAAAAAAAGTTTTGAGAAAGTGGCAAAACTGAGATAAGAGAGTTTTACGCTCGTATTCACAAACATTACTATGAGGTCTCACAGTGCGCCTGGACGCACAGGGTGACACGCGAACCAATCACAGAGCTCTATTCAACGCTGTGCGTTTGATATGCTGCTTCACTTAAGCAAGCATCGTTTGTGAATACGGGTGTTAGTCATGTAAGGGACGTCTTGTATAGTTTAGAGATAATCGAGTGAGATCACTTATCGTTTTCACCCTGTATAGTTTTCAGAATCTTTTCAGTGTTTTTATTAGAATTTGTCTTGAAAATGTATTGGTAATTATGGTGTAAGTGAACCTAATTGAGCCTCATTAACACCTACTTACTTTACTAGGAAACTCGCAACAAAACCACTTGAATAACCAAAAAAATATTAGGTACTTATGCGTTAGTTGCAATGTTGCAACTTTGGCTGGCGTCTTTTATACTTGCTTTACAGTTTTGATATCGTTTACCTATATGTACTAAACACTGTGCCATCTTACTTTTATTTTGTAAAAAAAATATATGCGCTTTTGCCTGAAAAGATGCAGAGTAGAGATCGAAAATCAAATGATCGAAGACGATTAATCAAAAAGTTAAGCCGTAGTAGAATGTACAAAATATCGAAGTTATCATTTATTATCGAAAACTCACCACCCACGTAGAGTGATAAATCGATTGGTAAATAATTTAAGCACTGTTTAGCTGTAGAGGAACCTACGTAAATACAGACAGACATACTTTACGTATAGACTTGTAAAATTTTAACCCTTCCTATTGGCTTGTCCACAGTGCATTCAAGTAAAAATATGTCACATTAAAATATGGGAAAGAAAAAATAATAAAAAATATTATCAGATCATTTATTTTAATCTAAGTAGGTACATTTCATGAGCTCGACCCTCTAAGTTTTCAGAGGGAAATGGAGGATTTGGCGGTATAGTTACTCGCGCTGGCGCTGTAAACTAGTATTATGATAATAGTTGTATGTACGTCCTTCCTTCCTACTTATACAGGGTGTTACTTTGCATCCTTGCCATATTCACAGAGATAAAAGTAGGGAACAATACCTATTATTTTAGATAAACAAGAGACTACTGTAAAGAAAGCACACTGAGTTTTTAGTAAATTTAATTTTGCAGTACAAATTGAAGTAAACCAATTTTGTCTCACACATTCAACAGGCGCAATGGAATAAACAGTGGGCGACAGATTTTTACAAATTGTCAAAAATAATTTTAAAAACTCCAATAGATGTTTAAAAATTGAGAAGATTGTCGATAAAATAACATACTCAAGTTTAAAAAAGTAAATTTTAGGACATTGTTTTTTTACTGATTTGTGTTCAGTGTCATTCATAACTATAGTTACCTCTGTAAATATGGCAAGAATGCAAGGTAACAATAAAAATTGCATTAAATAATTGCAATAGTTAAAGTTCTATAAAAATGTACCTTGAATTTTCAAAAGTGAATTTTCTTCTGAGCCACCCTGTACCTATATTTTATAGAAGAAGAGATTTTTTACGAGATTAAAATTCAGGGGTGCGATGCCGAGGGGAAACGCTCGTATGTTTGCTGCATTAAAAGTTCTAAAGCACGCCATCTACATGAAAGCTCTCGTAACACGATGTAATACTAGCATCATCATGAGAGAACAGTATAACCTGACTCGCACACGTTGGTGTATTGACCTAAACATTATAGCATTGATTGCCGATGTAATTTAGTTTGTAGCTTTGACAGTAGATGGTGCTAACTACTTTATAAAGTGTTATTAAATTAGGTATATTCATGAAAAACATATTCTAGGAAATATTGAGTGTAGAAAAAGCTATCACGAAGCCGAATAGCACGTATTCTCCACATCCTGATGATCAAACTTGAATTCTTAGAAAAACTTCTAAGAACGGTGTTTAATTTTTTCCCCTAGGAACGTGATTGAATTCAATGAAACTAAGTAGGTACACACCGTACACATTATAATTTATGACATATTATGTATAAAGGAAAATGCTGTAAGCTTTAGCGTATAGGCACAGTATTGTCCATTTATAATTGTATTGTTAATACTATATTAATAGATGTGATACTGAATTCAATATTTTTTCTACTTCTAATTTTATATGTATTATCACATCCTGCATATAATTTAAATCGAGCTGTACTGGAACACAGATTTGGGAGCATAGTAGAGCTTCGCAAATCTGAAAAAAAAACGGACAATCTGTGAGAGCACTAGGATGACATTTACTAAGCAAGGTAAAAAAAAACTAAGTTATAGTAAATGCGATTCATCATTTGGTTCTACATAAATAAACTAAGCTAAGTAAGTGGCAAAAATGTCGGATTTGAACAACCACGCACCAACTTCTTTGATTTAAGGTTAAGTATTTGACTTTGCTTGTTATGATTGTTCTAAGAATATTTTGATGGCCTTCAACAGTGATTTTAGGTAAGACTGGGTCACGAGCTGTTCAACCACAGATTACAAGGATGACGACCCTAAAGGTCAGAGGTTGTACTGACGAAATTCATAATTCGTATGAAGGTACATTACTAAAATACTAATAGCAATCTTCTTCTACTTCCTACTAATAATTTAAAAGAATGTGAGCTGATGAATAGATGGATTTTTCATACATTACTAAAACTGCAGCACCACCTTATTTTATAACCGTAACGATAACATTATCCGGTGCTTTTTGTATGGAGTTTGATGATTTTTAACGTTTTTAAAAGTTATAGTAAGATGGTGCAACTCAGCCTATTAATGTAAAAGAATGTGAGGATAGATGGATGTTTCATACAAAAGCTAGTGAACCGATTTTGATGAAACTTCACAATATTTATATCAAAATATTCTAAAGAATTTGGCCAAATTGAAGCGATGAATAAAAAAAGTTTGCTCTGATTTTAAGTACTTAAAGGATACAATAAAATATTGAGTATTGAAAGTCATTGGTATAAAATTCCCAGTTTATTCTGATATTTTTTTGAACAAGATAAGATCATTATCTCAAGAGTACACGCACTTGTTCATTAAAATGCAGCCTTAATTTGTAAACAAGTGCAGTAATAATAACCCGGAAGGATAGACTATGTTAATACAATGCAAATTAGGCACTAAATAAAATACAGCTTCTTTAAATGAATTCTCAGATCATACTTCTGCCCGATTACCAGTAATTTGTATGTAAATACTAAAAGTAAACTTGTAGGAGAGGTGGGTCCAAAGCGGGCACTGAGACTAAAGAGGGCACTCTCTACCTTACTACCTTACTTTTGGCACTAGAACTTTTAATTAAACTGTCGGACAATGGGACGTATTATGTCATAGAAAGCAATAGTTACATTGAGGGCTTCGGGCAGATTATATTACAATGTGTCTTCGGTCACGCTTGCGACATCGGTCAACGTGATCGAAGCTTTCGCCATGTTTGTGTGTCAGACCGTGTCAGCCATAAATCATTTATTAAATATTCCATCAACCGTATTATAATTATTTTTTATCAAAGGTTTTGTAGACAATTAGGTATTTATTTATGTTGAAAATAAGTTTTTGTTTTAGTAGCCTTATTCAGCTCCATAATTGGACTGGTTTGATCTTTGACTTCTAAAAAGTATTGTTATTCGAATTATAAAATACAGGGTTATTTAATAATTTCGTTTATAAATGAGACTTCTAACGTATAAGTATTAAATGTTGAAACTGCTAATGTAGGCATTGAGTTATGTTAAAACTCATAGAACAAATGTTGTACACTTTGTTGAAGTAGATGAGATCATTTTTGAATCATTTTTTAAATGCTGGCAATTTTTTTTATTTGCTAAAACATTGATTCAACTCATTCATCATTAACAGAAACATTCTACCGCATGGGTTACATACGTTTACGTACCTACCTATGAGTTAGTAAATCTTATAGGAAAGGTGTAGAGAGGTGAAGTGTTGTGTTTAAATCCATCGATATCCAGTATTTTTTACAATTTCGATCATTTGCCTACAAGTGAAGCCAATACCATCTCTGAGCCGAAGCGGTCGCTGATATCATCTTCATTATACTGCAAAAAATATCTTGTTATTGTATAGGTCAACATTTTCATTTTCAAAATTGAATTTTAGCCAATAGAACAAAACAAACCAAACATACAACTATACATGTGTAACGTACATTATACAGGGTGACTTTGAAATCGTTGGCATCCTTTTAAATCAAGATTCTACTCATGAATTCATGATACATAGTATATTCCCCAAACATGAGACAAATCCTAAAATTTTAACTCATTGGAAAGTCAACCTGTATTTTTATACAGTTATTCACTATAGATTCCCATCTTAAGTGAAATCAAACATTTAAGAAATAGCTATACACTTTTCTACTTACGTCTGATTGTGATAAATCCACGACGGCAACTTTTGCATGATAGCCGTCTTTGTCACTCGTGTAGGTTATCGTGTACTGTTTGTTGTCAACTACATATTTGTACTGACCCTTGACTTTCAGGTCACCTTGGTCATCATGCTTAGCAGTCTCGCTTTTACTTTGGAAATCGTCTTCATACCTGATAAAAAAAGTTGGATAGGTGATCAACTTTATTTATTATTTATTTAATAGTACATACACTTTCTGTTTGAATCCAAATTTTGGTATCTAAATCTTAAAAAAAAGTCACAAAAATCTAAATTATTTGAATATTTAGTAAAAGATTTGTACTTACATGTATGAGTATTCACCGTTTGCTATATTTCTTGTATCAAATTCAGTTTGTGCATCTACATTTCTCGTTATCAATAATACTGCACTTAGTAATACAACGTATTCTATATTTTTATTCATATTCACCTGAAACACACAACACACACTAAACTACGAGACCTATATCCCAAACACGGCAACCTTACGAGATGGTAAACAAACGTTTGCCTTAAGTTTAATACGTACAAAACATGCCTTGTTTTTCATATTTTTTGTAGTAAATAAGTATACTTATTTGGACACTCCGTTTCCTCTTCGGAAGTCTTCGTCTATAATGAGACAAATAATCACCTATAAGGTGATGTTAAAGCATAACATCATCATAAGGAAGCAATTATTACTACACTAGCTTTCCGCCCGCGGCTTCGCCCGCGTGGAATTTTGTCTGTCACATAAAAACATTATCGCGCGCGTCCCTGTTTCAAAAACCGGGATAAAAACTATCCTATGTTCTTTCCCGGGACTCAAACTATCTCTATGCCAAATTTCATCAAAATCGGTTGCGAGGTTTAAGCGGGAAAGCGTAACAGACAGACAGACAGACAGACAGATAGACAGACAGACAGAGTTACTTTCGCATTTATAATATTATATATAGTTGGGATTGAAAAATTAAGGCTGACTTGCACCACCTTATTTTAACCGTAACATTAACGACAACTGGTGCTTTTTGTATGTAGTTTGACAGATTTTTGACGTTTTTCAAAGCTAGAGTAAACCTTTTTATGTCTAGATTGAACTAATAATGAATTAGGTACCATTATTAAAATTGTATTTGTTAGTAGGTATTTTAGGATACCAAATATCCTTGATAGGTTCAATTGATGACGGAACCAGACATAGAGAGATAATGGGGCTGAATAGGATCGCTTTGAAGTACCTAATGAATACTAGCTGATGAGATCTAACAACGAAATTCCAAGGAGCTTTAATTATTTTACTAGAATGAAAAGAAACTAACTAATTTTAGTAACATTCTAATAGTCCAGTAGAATTAGCTTTTAAATCGGAAATAATTCCTACAAAAGATTTTATTGTTTTAATGGCTTCATTGGTTGCCCATTAAGACTCTCCTAAGTTTTCGACTTCGACGGAGTTGTGCTTAAGTGGTGGGGGCCCCCGAAAGGGGCATTTTTTCGGTTTTCCGGTTATACCGCGTAAAGGACTTACCCTATCAAAAAGTGGTCTTCATGACGGTTGAAGGGCACTTAATCCTGCATTGAATAAGACCAAATTCATATGTTTTGGACAAACCGTTCTCGCGCTAAAGTTCGGCAAAGTAGAAAATATACGTATAATTAATGACCCTCTCCACGTCCAATGGTTTGTTACCCACAGGCTTCCAAGTCTTGAAAAGGGCCACCTCAACCAGTGTAACCCTATCAAGGCTTACGAGCTTGATGCGCCTATCCTTGTTCGTCCCAGCCGTTCCTTAACTGCGGTTGCTGCACCTCTTCCTGGCACTCACCTGAACGACTCTGTGTTACCTACTGTGGCTGCCCCTCTTCCTTGTATCCTCCTGCATGACTACGTTGCCTAGCCGTATGCCTGGTCTAAGGTTCGACGCCAAAAATCAACAACAACAAGTTCATATTAAAACGCTGAAGAGTTTTTTGTTTGTTTGTTTGAACGCGCTAATCTTAAGAATTACTAGTTTGATTGAAATCATTATTTTTGTGTTGAATAGCTCATACATTGAGGAAGGCTATAGGATATATACAATCACTCTACGACTAATAGAGGCGAAGCAGTAAAGAAAAATGTTGCAAGCACGGGAAATAGTATTTAAACTATTTTCACTCGTACGAAGTTGATTTTGTGGCGTCGAACCTTGGACCAGGCATATGGCTAAGCAATGAAATCGTACAGGAGGGTACAAGGAAGAGGGGCAGCCACATTAGGTAACACAGAGTCGTTCAGGAGAGTGCCAGGAAGAGGTGCAGCAACCGCAGTTAAGGAACGACTGGGACGAACAAGGATAAGCGAATCAAACTCGTGAGCCTTGTTAGGGTTACACTGGTTAAGACGACCCTTTACAAGGCTTGGAAGCATGTGGGTAACAAGCCATTGGACGTGGAGAGGGTCATTAATTATACGTATATTTTCTACTTTGCCGAACTTTAGCGCGAGAACGGTTTGTCCAAAACACATTCAATGCAGGATTAAGTGCCCTTTAACCGTCATGAAGACCACTTTTCGATAGGGTAAGTCCTTTACGCGGTATAACCGGAAAACCGAAAAAACGCCCCTTTCGGGGGCCCCCACCACTTAAGCACAACTCTGTCGAAGTCGAAAACTTAGGAGAGTCTTAATGGGCAACCAATGAAGCCATTAAAGCAAAAAAATCTTTTGTAGGAATTATTTCCGATTTAATAAATTTTTGTGTTTAATTCTACTGGCCTATAAGGAAACCTTATTTTATGTTGCCTTTGTGTCTAAGTAGAATCATCATGCAAACACTCACGCACTAATTTATATAAAGTTTCACTGTCAGAAACGGCTCTATGGTAAAGTAAGCTTTTAAAAGGGTTTTATTTAGATTGTCCTGTTTGTTTAACCTTTCCCGGTGTCATTCGATAGTCACATCTGTGTAGAAGCAAAATAAATACTACGAGCTTAATTATAAGCCTGTTTTCAGCTAGATTAATTAAACTATACAGGGTTATTTGTAAAACACCATCAACCTTGCAGGAATATTTTAAAAAGCTAAAAAAGTTTGCTATACTCGTACAGTAGAACCATTTGTAGCCATAACGAATCTTGGGTTTTTTTTTCAGGGGGGCCTGACATGCCATGTCCGATGAATCCGATGGATTATTATGAGTAAGTACAGGTTCGTAGCCCAATATCACCTGGGGTCGGCACTGGATCACCCTATAGGTACAGGGTGGAAACGATAATAAATGATCTCACTCGATTATTCCTAAACTATACAAGATATTGAAAAACTGGTCACTGATACTGCTGCACGTTGATTCTATTTAGGTACGAGTACATTAGATAAATATTATAGAATAATGAATAGCAGAACACCTACTTCAAAGCAAACCTAATGAGCCCAATTATCTCCTAACTGGTTCCGCCATAATCTAGCTGAAGGATACAAAATTTATTATTGAATTACCATTATTAGATATCTAGACATACAATACTTACAATTCGTTTACTTTTGTACAATTCTTTTTTTCAATAATAATTACTTCCTCATGATGATGTTACCTATATATAATTCAAATTAATCTCATTGCCGGTTATAAGCGAAGGCTCCCGAAGAGCAAACTAAATAGAGAACTACAGAAATAAGAAAAACATGGCATGTTTTGCACGTATTAAAGAAAAATCAAACGTTGGGCTATCATCTCATAAGCTTGCCGTGCGTGTATTAAATTATTATATAGCTCCTAGTTTAATGTGTGTTGTGTATTTCAGATGAAAATGATTAAAAATATAGAATACGTGGTATTAATAAGTGCAGTATTATTGATAACGAGAAATGTAGATGCACAAACTGAACTTGAAATAAAGAATATAGCAGCCGGAGAATATTCATACAATTATCACACGTAAGTACTACAAAGTTTAGTGTAAATACAGATAGTTTAGATATTTTGTGACATAGATACCTACAATTTTTTAAGAGCCTTAAGAAACAAAAAAAATTGAAAAAAATTAAAGATAAGTTGACGGTCTTCTCATAATATTTAAAGAATTAAGATGTAGCCAACTTGTTTTATCAGGTATGATGGCGGCTTCCAACTTAAAAGTGAGACTGCTAAGCATGATGACAAGGGAGATCTGATAGTCGAGGGCCAGTACAAATATGTAGTTGACAACAAACGATACGTGGTAAGCTACACGGCTGACAAAAATGGCTATCATGCAAAAGTTACCATCGAGGATTATTCACAGTCAGCTGTAAGTAGAACAATATTATGATATTTTTATTTATTTAAGTAATAGCAGGCCTGTTCATCTCCGTGAGTTTACATCGAAAACAAAACACGCACTATGGCCCACCTACAGGATACTATTCGACAAGGCCTCACATACGAGCGAACATTGACTCACGCACACGTGTTCTTGTGCATGATGGAAGAAAATAAAGAAAATGGTGTACTTAATACTGTGCAGTATTTAACTGCCTAAATAATCATAAAAACACAGAATGTACTTTATTAAGTTGCCTCAAGACACTGAGAGGTAAATAAGTAGTTAATATTATTCTTGATAATTCATGCTAAATCATGCATTTCCTCCGCCATTTTCCGCAGTTTGGCACCTCACTTCACATCATTTTACCGAAGCCAGCCCTATAGCTTCGGCGCAGAGCCGATCACTGACGTTTGTCAAGAAAATGGTGCTTGACTCTTGAGACAGGCTAAATTACACCATATTGTTAATGACATTGAGCATACATTTTTTTAAGTACCTTCGCGAAGTAAAACTTCTGTACGTAGTACTTATTATTATTCTGTGGTAATAGGACAATCTTTTGACAAGATTTTAATTTATTATTTAAAATTTTGATAATGTCTAATTTTATACTCGTATTTTTATATTTTGTTTGTTTTTTCTCGAATTTGGCAGATCTATACTATAGAAAATAAATAGATTCTATACAGGGTGGAAACGGTAAGTGAAAGTAAAATATCTCGAATATTTCTAAACTATTATACATACAAGATATCTAAAAACTGGTTACTGAACCTGAAAGTGCTCCATGAGCTGTATTAAACAACGGTATCAATAAATAGGTTACAGAATAAACTGGTTCTAAATGATACTTACTGATACAACGCACTTTCAGGATCAATAAACAGTTTTTCGATATTTTATAATTGTATAGAAATAATCGAGTGAGAGTCATTTATCGCTTCCACCCTGTAGACTGGAATATAAAATTAAAAAAAATAGAGGAACAAAATAATAGGTATTGAATTACCTATTAAACTTCAGTACCTACCTAATAAGAAGATACAATTTTCAAAAAGCTAATGCAAACGATTAATTGAATATTTTTTTTTTTATAGTTTAGTGCGCCCGTCAGCCCTGGCCTATTAGCAACGCTCGTCGGCAAATGATCGAAATTGTAATAAAAATTACTATAACAATAACATACATTTTTAACACTCAACACTTTACCTCTTTTACTTTACTTTCTCATTTTATTAACCTATGGGTCTGTTATCTATGCGGTAGAATGCTACGGGTTTTTTAAAATAATTAAAATAGAATAAACATCATATTTGATATTTTATTATTATACTTAAACCAGACTTTCATTCACAGTATGTCAGTAACAATTTTCCTTTACATTATGCTAGCTTAGTTGATAAGCATTAATTTAATAAGAACTAAAAAACGTATTTCATTAAAGTGTACTAAACTGTTTACCTGTCTGTAAGTATACCTATTTATTTTATTTTTGTAACCGAGGTCAAGACCTAAGCTGAATCAAGTTTCCTTGTTTACGCATAACCAAAATAATCCGTCTTAAGTTATGGAGCGGTATTGATGGCTTATTGCCAATGATCCACCACTCTATTGTTCTTCTTTTCCCACCGGGTCCATGAAAGTTTAAAATATACTAAAATGCTTTATTATTTTTAATGTCGTGGACCTATATGAATTTACATTTATGAAAACAATTGAGCTGTGGACCCTTGAGAATAAGCAGTAATGATTTCTTAGAGTATTTTTTCAAGATAAAGTTTTCTACAATATAATGCTAACGGTTAATTTTGATTAAATTTATGTTTTATTGCAGGTTCAGGTCTCCCTCGACCCGGGTCTATTAGCGACGCTCGTCGGCAAATGATCGAAATTGTAATAAAAATTACTATAATAAAAAAAAGAAATTTTTAACACTCGACAATACCTCTCTTCACCTTTCTTATTTTAATATACAGGCTGTCCCAAAAAGTAGTGTCAAGCCGAAGTCCAGAGGTAGAGCGTCAAGTCGCGGCGATTCGGGTAGCCCTAGTGATGCTCTACCTGGGTTTCAGCTTGACACTACTCTTTGGGACACCCTGTATATTACCTACGTGGTAGATTGTTGAGTAAAAAATTATGAATTGAGTTCTGCCAGTAAATACTTGCCTACGTCAAGACCTAATAAGCTGAATCAAGTTTCATTTGATCACTTCATCATGTGTGTTTTTATTTATTTATTTATGTAAGACTTTATTGCACACACATAAGAATGTTCGGTACAAAATGTTTTTCACTTTCTATCATATTTTTGGAGCTTGAGCAATTTCACGCGTTTCACAACATCTATAAATAATCAACTTGTTCTGAATTTCAAAAGGGAATAGTGAAAAATGCTTTTTGCTGATTGATTATTTAAATTATTTTATTCATGAGGTGTTTACAATGTGCCAAGTTCTTGAATAATTCAAAAGAATCCGTCTTATGTTTATGGAGCGATAATGATTTCTTAGGGCATTTTTTAAGCCTGTTTTTCTCTTTATATGGGCTGTGGGTTATGGTAGCGATCGAGTGTGTGCGCAAGCCTTAAATATACATAATATATTCTGTTCATCATTTTTTAAATTTGACTGGTTGAAATAAATTGCGGTGTCAATGACTGAGACAAGTCCTTGGCGACGCATTGTTAAATAAGGAATGAGGTCCAGACTTGACATTCTTGAATAACTGGATATATAGAGTGGGCAGCGGTCCTGTTCGGCAGTCCGCTTAGATAACCATTGGTGAAGAACATTGTCAACTATGGTGAGTTGATTAACCGGTTATTGATATAATTAAACCAGCTCAGGACAAAGAAACAAATCAGTAAGGAATACAGTTTTATAAAATTCAAGGTAAACTATAAAATTTTATCTCATCTATGGCATGATGACTCTAATTTAGTAGAGATAAGTCCACAAATTAAATACAACAGAATCATATTGCTGTGTTGATATTTTTGCAATGGGTAGTTGAGACAGCGGGAAATTAAGCTAATTTGTATAATTTTACATAAAAACATTTCATGGATCATAAACATAATCATAGCGTTGGTCTAATAACTATTCAATCCCTATCACATTAATTTGCCATTATAGGCATGCAAACATTTCTGTTTCAAGTAATCTATGTTGAATAAATATTTATAGACCTAACAAACATACCTAACATACATTTTAATTTTCAATAAAAGTATCGTATTTTATTTTTATTTTTTTTTGGGATGGACTGTCCCGCTGAAAAAGTATCGTAAAAAAGAAAAAACAATAATGTCAATAATGTCAACAAGTACAAATTATAAAATGGTCATAGATACAATATAATTAAAATAACTGTTAATGGAGATACATTTTTTTATTTTGTAAATAACACATATTTATTTTAAGTATTTTTTAATATAATGCAGTTCTTTGCGAGATAGTTATAGTGTTTTCAAATCCTTACATTTTTGTTTCTGTTAAGCAATAACCTTCTATCGAAAGTGTAGATTTCGTACTGTAGGTATTTCTATAATTTGTTTTATGTTTTAGGTGAAAAATAGTTCGCCAGTTGTAACTCTTGCGATTGCTATATTATGTTATTTGAACGAAGTACACACGTACAACGATAACACGCAAATATATAAAAATGTATACAACAATAATGGATTAGGTGGTTACAGTTTTGAGTGAGTATTATTTTTACTACAGTCAGTTTTTATTCAGTCCTAGGTTCTACTCTACATATTTTAGGATAGGAAAAATAATAAGCACATAGTTATTATTTTTAATTCATTTTATAACAATATATTATTTTACAAACGTAACTTGAAAAACACTATGCAGAAAAACATCTTTGAGTGGAGATACAAATCGAAACTTCTGACCTACTCTAATACGGGACCACCATGTGGTCGTTAACAAAACGTACTTCAACTATCTTAATACATACTTAAAATGGAACAAAGTAACAATGAAAATTTAAAAGAGATGGTTTTAAGAACGTTAGTACATATTGACAAAAGAAAAATAAGTATAAAGTCAGTTTAACAAAGCGTTGACAGAATAATCGTACGTTATGAACTGTCAAACGATAACGATTTCTTTACACAATTCCACCTCAGACTGTAAAATCAATACCGAGACTAAATAAATGAGCTTGCGTGAGGGGCAAATGTAGATAATTATGTCATCTTTTGTCAATACTAACGTTTTTAATATCATCACTTTTAAATTTTAATTCTGACTTTGTTCCATTTTAAGTATGTATTAAGATAGTTGAAGTAAGTTTTGTTAACGACCACCTGGTCCCGTATTAGAGTAGGTCAGAGTTTGGTCGTATAGCTTTAACAGAGATAATTTTTAACACGTTGAATTTCAGGTTTGAAACTTCTGATGGTACCTATAGATGGGAAGAAGGTGGTCGCAGTCCAGACAATGATGGACTGGTCGTGAGGGGAGAGTTCGGGTACATAGATCCAAGAGGCAAGCGCTACTCGGTGCGATATATCGCCGACGCCAATGGCTATCAACTGCAGCCCGACGATGGTGATACACGATTTAATGATAGACGTATAGTATAATTTTAAATAAAATAGTTATCAAAATATCGTTTAGTTATTCTATCTTTAGACTTTGGACTTCTGAATTTCTTAAAGCAAATACTGCAGACTTTATTTTCACAAAATTTTTATATTCCTCTACCGATTCTATCGCCCGTATTCACAAACATTACTATGAGGTTTCACAGTGCGCGTGGACGCACAGGGTGACACGCGAACCAATCATAGAGCTCTATTCATCGCTGTGCGTTCGATTTGCTGCTTCACTTTTAAGCAAGCATCGTTTGTGAATACGGGCGTAATCATCTCTCCTTTGTCACGAAGTAAATTCTTCTCTTTACAAAATTTGCATTTGCATTTAGACCTATCCTATAGCTGATCTTAATAATAAAACTATAATACTGAAATACTAATGAGGTACTGAAGGAGACCAATTACAATTAATCGAGGTTTATTTTTATTGTGAGGCCACTAGGGTCAACTGGTAAAAAAAAATGGTAAATCCTACTTATCTGCATAAACTTAACCTGCATACTTGGTTACCAACCTCTTTAGAATTTGTAAAAAATTACATAGCACATTGTCTACATTGTTCTTTTTACATAATAATAACTATCATGCTCTGAGCAATGTTAATCTCGAATACATAATACTCTCAGTGACGGGTCGTTTAACATCAAACTCGCCTTTAATAAGATATCAAATCTTCTTAACCCAAAAGTAGAAAAAAGTTACATCAATTAACAAAATTAAAACACTTGATTTCAGTGGGCACTAGAACCCACGACCTTACCCACGAATGCAGATAAATACTCGTATGGGTTCGATCCCACGGCAATACAATTTTACAGCATCCAGTAATGCAGGATCCCGCAACACTGGACTGTCGTGTGAATACACATTTAAGTGTGTTTGAAATCCAGACGGATCGGTTTTTTGCGGGACTCTCCAAAGGGGATGTCGTGTGAACATTAATATTAAAACACAAATAGTTACTACTAAACAGGTGCTCCAACAGTTCCTGCAAAAAAGGTCTTCATAGCCTCGACTGAGGCAATATTGGTTGAGTAAGGCTTTAATTGCCTCGTAAGGGCCTACAAGTTTAATACATAATTTAAAGCTACATATGTATAAAATAATTATAATAACAATTTATCTACCCAACTTCACTGAGTGGGTTTGATTGGCAGCCAATTTGCAGGAATGCTGAGTAATACTGAGTATATTATATTGAAGTGCTAGAATCAATCCTAAGTCTTAGCTCATAATAATATACTGTGGTCTTACTTATTCAATTACGACGTGAAACGGCAACCCTAACATTTCTTGTTTCCTTTTATTACATTGTAAATAATAAAATGGAGCTACCTAGTTTATATTTTACGCTTCAAACTCAGTTGCGGTTTGGAGAAAAAAAAACTTACAAAACAAAAGTTAAATTTTAATATGTTGAAAAACGTGTGTGTTTTGTCATATCTTGTGAGTAAGAATGTTTTTGAAATACTTTATTTGAAAAGGTTATTTTGTCCACATTTCATTCACTAATCTATCACGCAATTTTAGGTCCTTCAAAGCATAATTGAAAGAGCCGCTGGCGTAATTTACACATAGTGGGTGATGCTGACATTCTCTATAAATATGTTGCAGTCAAAACTCATAATCAGTCAAAACCACTATTGACTGCAAAAATCAGTCAAGTGGTTTTGACCGATTCCCATAATCATTAAGACTTTTGACTGATTTTTCCAGTCAAAAGTGTTTTGACCAAGGCGTTAGTCAAAACCACTTTTAACTGAAAAAAAAAACGGTCAAAAGTGCTTTCGCTTGATTTAAAATTTTACCTATCAGTCAAAAGTGATATTGACCGATTATGAGTTTTGACTGTAACAAATACATCAATTAAGTTTTATTAAGGTNATGCTGGCAATTTGGTTACAATGGTTTGCGTATTTCTCCTGAGCATTTATCGTCAGTTGTAATTGGTATAACATAAAAACACTAATAAAATAAAAACCAAATATTATATTTACAAATTTTCAGCGAAGATGTTGAACTAAGACGAATTTTTCCAAGAGAATTCCCCCAGGATACAGTACGGCGAAGTGGTTCATTGGATCCAGAAGTGTGTAATTACTGGGTTGCTCCATCTTACTTTAGCTTTGACAAACGTAAAAAATCTGTCAAACTCCATACAAAAAGCACTGGTTCACGTTATAGTTATTAGTCACCGTTAAAGTTAGGTGGTGCAAGCAACAGCCTAAATCTTAAACTGACGTTTCACGTTACTTCTTATATGTATAACAAACTTAGTAAAATCTTAAACTAGATTTGACGTTACTTTTATATAAAACTAATATAATAAACTTTTAAATAAAATATATCAAACTTTCAGCATTTAGGGCGATATAACGAACTGAAAAGGTATTTTAAGTATCCAAAAGCCCAACTGAACAGCCACTTTGAAGAGTTGGAATGCTATGAAGATGGTCAAAAAAAGGTAACGACTAACTCATTATTAGTTTCAACATACTAAAGTTTCGCCACGATTACACTATAATTATTTTAATTGGATGGCCCGTGTCATCAGCTAGTTAAAGGTTGTCACTAACTTGAAGTTAATAATGGCTAGTTATAACGATATTGGTTTATTGACGTCACACACCGTTCCCTATAATTGTGGTTAGAAATCGTACACCTCATGTCACAAAGTGAGACTTAGCGAAAGCTTGTTTTGATGTTGTGCTCTCTACAAATACAATAGGGATGTTTCCTGAACCAAGAGTTTGAATTAGTCCGTCGGTTAACTCTTAAAAAAAATACTCGAAAAAACTTATGAAAATTGAAAGTAATAAAGCGCGTAAAAGAAGAGGCCCGTGACGTCAAGGCGTGCCTAAAAGTGAAGCACAACGTCACGCGGAACTTCAACGCATCATAACTTCGTAATTACTCGTTTGATTGCCAAATAAAAATACACATGTCCAATATATTTTGATAATGTAATTGACGGACTAAAATATTTTTTTTTAGGAAACTGGCCTATTGATAGCACTTTAGATTGTAAATTTTTGTTGCGAAATGGCACGTATTACAACTGCATAAGACACCGCTGTGTTTACATCGTTGTGATGTCGTGACCATGTATTAGTTAGATCATTAGATTAATGAGCCTGAGAGGTTCAGTCACCTCTAGAAATTGTTATAGTATTTTTCAACTTTGGGATAATCATTTCAATAATGTAATCATATACTAGTTTGTTTGTTTTTTCAAAATTGTTACTTAAGGCGAACTTAATGCCATCGGGAATTCTTAGCCAGCTATCCTTCATTCATCAAATATTCGTTTAGCAGTGAATTTTGTCGTCTCAATAATATTTAAAGGAATTCTGCCAATTCATAACACATAATATAATCCAGTCTATTGTCAACCTGATCTTGTTGAATTAAATGTCGCCATATTGACATTTTGGTGGTTCCGGTACTTTAAATTAAAGGTTAATAATGCGCTCTTTAACGCCACAGATCGCCATTTTAATTACCATTATCATTTCACTTATTATTATTTTAGAAAAAACACAATATGTACTCCACCACCTTGTTGGTAACAAATTAAAGTGTATTTTGAGTTAAATATCAAGAGACAGCATAGCATAGTAGCATATCTCTTAATGTTTAACTGAAAAGTTTTATTAAATTCACTATATTAATAATGGATTTGATGACCTACTTGCTTTTTTAAATAAATATTGTGTTGATAAAAGAATTATCAACCCGTAGTTTTATGACAGTAGGGATTCATTACTACATACTTATTACCTACACTTTTATTTATCACCTAAAATCCGGAAAAAAAAAACAGGACGTCCACTGCTGAACATAGTAATAATTTTATTATGCCTCCCTCAATAATTGCGACATCGCCCGGTTGGTAGCGGCCTCCATCCAGCGCCTTCCTAATACCTTTATGAGGTCGTCCCACGCTCTCATCTAGGTAGGTCCTACATATTTGTTGTCTTTGTTACAGCTTTGTAAAATAGATTTGGACCGGCACTCGCCGGATGAAGACAACTACTATATGACTTCAAAACAGGAGAGCCACGTCGACCGCCGTAGAGTCTACTGCTTCATGCTGCTTTGCTTCACGGAAGATGAGCTTGACAGGGTCGTTGCTTCGTTTTAAATTAAATGTGAACCATAAATGTTTTTGTAGGGACTCATAATATAATTATATGAGTAGAACTTTTTTTGTGAACCTTCAAACGACAGCAGATACCTACAAAATCATATCGGTAAATGTGTTGATTGAACAGATATTGCTTTAGCATAATCCAATGATTCTACCAACGTTATTTTAAAATATCGGTAATCTCAAGTGTATCATTTACCTAGTACCAAATAAATATTTTTTCTTTTTTCTTTCAATATAAAAAAGGTTCAATCAAATTCGTTTCCGAGAAACCATTTCTGATCGATGGGCATTTATCGTAACTCGTAAGTGATGACAGTCACACGTATCGTTTACGCCTAATCGATGCATTACAACAATAGACATTACATAACCTAAAATGGGTCCATACGATGCTGCAAGTTTCTCCCGGATACGTAGTCGAATATCTACAGCCATATCTGATCTTGGATAGCAATCACGTTAAGATTCGATTCTGTGTTTCCCATGGCCAATAAAGTAACTTTGAATGCACTGAAACAAAGTGAAGTGTCTATCCTAGGTCTATTATGGTTATGGTGCATTCACATACATGGCATGAAGATGGATAACAATCTGGAATTAAACCCATGGGCGCTACCAGTTTTTAGGTCAGTGGTGGCATTTTGGCTCATTGGAAGGGCATCAGATGCTTTGACGGAGTCCCCTGCATTTTAACACTAAAAGATTAAAAATATCGTCTAAGTAGTTGATGCAATTCACGAAGGCGAGTGAGCTTTACATGTGTGGTGGCTGGCTACTGTTCGATTTTCAAACGTTTTGACAGACTACACTATCGTTATGTGCATGTATATGTTACGGTTAATGTGATAAATTGAAAATTATTAATAATAACCGGTTATTATGAATAATTACCGACAGTCGCGGTAAAAGTGATAAATTAATCACATTTAACAGTGATTATTTAATAATTCAACCTTAGTACTAACAAATTTCCTAAAAGAGAACAACATCTTGTGTACGTGCTCGTGTACAGCCAATTTTTGAACGTTTTGATATCATATATTAATATANGAGTTTGGAATGTTTCTTGCATAATATTACTTTTCCATGATGCCTATAACATAATGTTTTGATTTAAAGTGAAAAATAGGTTAAAAGGTGCGGCGGGGGTGGAACTTGGGCCACCCCTAAGCCGCCTATTTAGTTTTATACACACTTAGATGACCTCATATTAATCACATTTACCAAATCATGCGGTAATTATTCATAATAACCGGCGATTATTCATAATTTTCACATTTATCACTTTGACCGTAACATATATACGAACACCCAGAAGTAAAACTCACTCACCTTCGTGAGTTGCAATGCAAGAACTATATGCATGTAGAGGTGAACCATTTTAAGGGGAAGGCAGTGTTTTCTTCATGCCTCAAGATCTGCTTGCCCCGAACTCTACGCATTATCATATAAAATACAGGCCATGTAGCAATGTAAACACACCTTTATGTATTATTTACGGTTGACCAGTGGCTCCATTATTATAGGCTAGCAATCAATTCTTATTGATATTACATTCTTATGGAAAGGTCCTATTGATATTACCAAAATCTATTTTATTTTACTATTATTACCTATCTGTTCGGAAATAACATGTTAAAGAATGCATAACATAGGAGCTTTTATTGCAAATAATACAAAACAAACAGTTAAATGAATACTAAGTTCATTTTGTGAAGATCGAATTTGCCACCTAAGTCCATCTCGTAGACCGATTGGACCTTATCTTCATAAGGTACTCGTTTGAGATTATTGTTGAAAATTTTTTGAGTAGGAGAAATTATCATCAAAGCTTTACAAAACAATTAAAGCTTTTTCTTTATTAATTAAAATTTCAACAACACCAGCGTTGATACCGTCGAGGCTCTTCTCTTGAATCGAGAAATCATTGAAAATCACAACAAATGTTACATAACTGAAAATCTGGTGTTATCTATTGTGCTGACATAAAGTTATGTCACACGATAACCTTGTACTGGTTATAGTATACAATTAATATTCATATATTTAAAGTAGGACGTCTAACATCAGCTCGTGAATGCTTTCAATGATTGACCCAAAAATAGTGGTCGCAAGGAAAGCGATAGGAGTCATAGGTCAGAAGCGCGCGTCGTCGGTCTACCTCATGACGTAAGGCGGCCAGTTGGGAACGGAGCTGCAACCAGCTATTGTGGCTATAAATCTAATGTATTCACGAATTTTGTAATGCTACGAAATAAGAAAACCTTATCTACCCAGCAACCATCTTGCAGCGGTCCAAGTTACAATGCTCATCATCGATGACATAATTGACATTTTCATTTCGACAACCAGTTTCTAACCAAACAAAACAAGTGTCAATTAAAATAAAGAATTACGGGTCTCTGTTTATTATGACGCTTGTGACCACTGCTTAGTCGACGTCAATCTGCAGTAGGTACTCATAAAGTACTAGTGCAGTCGCGCTTTCTCCATATTAATTGTACTTAATACAGGACTTCAGCTTGAGCCTTTTAGAGGGGAAAATTTGTCCAGAATGAAAAGTAGAATCTTCTTATTATTATAGCAAAGCTCATGGCTTGTAACCAAGATTCCAGTTACCATAATTGGTATGTTCCATAATGTCGGTTGCCTGTTGACGATTCCGATTTACTGAAGTGTGCATGATACGTCCAACTACTTAGGCTGGGTTGCACCATCTTACTTTAAGATAAACGTCACATAACTGTTAAACTCCATACAAAAAACACCGGTTATCGTCATAGTTACGGTCAAATTTGAGTGGTGCAACTAAGCCTTAGAGTAACTTATGATTTTTGTTAGAACGTGGTAGAACTGATAGATGTTTGCATGAACTGTTGTTTTTATTTTTCATACGAAATATCAATTGACTATAGGTATGTTTTATGCAACGTTTTGACGAAATTTCGACTAATAAAGATTAAGATCAAACCGTCTAATTAAGTTAGACCTTACTGTGTACACTGAAAGATATGCGCTTATTGTCTTATTACATCTGACGTTTCTGTGAGAACATTCTCAACTTAGACACTCATCAGTAATCAATTGGACACAAAATAATCCAGCGCAAAATGTGAAGCCTTGACCTTTACGCATGAATGTTGAGTTCGCGGTTAGTGCTGCATTATCATTATAACAAGTGTGTTTTTATGAATAACATACTTTAACATTATGCAAATAAGAACTACTTCAAATAATAATGCATCGTCTTCCTAATAACTTGATGCTATTAAATTAGGTAAGTATGCACAAAACGCTGAACTGGTCAGCCAAAATGTTTGGCGTTCCCATAACCTTATAAGAATGTGGATATCTAAATACTTACTTACATAATCTTGAAGATCCCCCTAATCTAAGGGAGATTGGTAATCAAGACTGCTCTTAATTACGTATTTTATCACAATTGGCATTCGCAAGATGAACAGGAGCAGCTTGCTATCATCATTAAGTAAAATAGAAGTATACAGGTACAAGGAGACATTTATAGATTATTATACTTAGTAAAGTTGCACCAAAACTAGATAGGTACCATGATAACATCAATATTTAAACATGTTTATATTATTAGTATTTAACAGTAAACAATGGATATATTGTAACTTAAACAGCCTTTGTCAGCAATCGCTCCACCCTATCAATGTCTAAGCTGTGCAAAGAAAGTACACGTAACGCTAAATTTATTGCAAAATATTACAGTACTCGTATATCACTTGCTATCAGATATTAAGCATATTGCACAAAAGATGTACCGCCATCATTCGTTTTGTTGTAACTTCGTCATCATCATTCATGATCGTTCATGATGTGAGCTTATGTGTAAGATTATGTTACATGCATTCTACGCTTTCATCGAAGTTCAGATACGCTTGAAATTGTTTTACTACTCGTATTTCGTAATAAACAATGTCATAAGTGCACAATAAATAACTATTATTCATCGCATTCGTGCTTAATAATGAAGTCTGTGAAGAAAACATAATTGTTACCTTTTGTAATCCATTTATCATTGACATTTGTATTTCGATTAAATTATTTAGAATAATTTGCCAGGTATCAATTTAGATGCTTGCAAACACTTGAATAGTGTTTGTGTGAAATCTTTACGTTCACTTACCGTAAGCAGATGCAGTGGGGTCTGCGGGTACCGCAACGAAGAGGCTCGCGAGCCCAACCACTGTGTTGTAACCATATTACAAGAAATATATAAGACAACCGCGAAGATACGTAATCATCACATAAACTAAGTGCTCTTTCGAGAAGATAGTCGTAAGCTGGAACCAAAAATAAAAATGAAATTGGTCAGTAAACAAGTGAACAGTGAAGTGCTTGTGCCCAGTGTTTTGTGGATGTGGAACGGTGTTAAGATTGCTGGTTTTGTTTCAGTTCGTGGTCTTCGCCTTGGTCGCGGCTGCTCTCGCCGCTCCCCAGCAATACCCACAGGATGTTCAGGTCGTCCGATATGAGCTGAACAATGGCAGCCCGGACGCTTACAACTTTGCGTAAGAACAATAGTTCTGGCAACTCACGAAGGCGAGTGAGCTTTACTTGTGTGTGTACGTGTACATGCACATGATATTGTAATGTCTATCAAAACTTTTGAAAAACGAACAGTAGCGAGCCACCACATATTATGTAAAGCTCACTCGTATTCGTGAATTGCAACAACTAGGTGTAACACTAGTTTGTAACTTGGAAGTGCTCAACACGGGGATGATTCTAATTGTTGTATTATTTGCAGATGGGAGCTGTCAGATGGAAGCAAGCATCAAGAACAAGGTCAGCTGAAGAACCAAGGAACAGAAAATGAAGCTATCTCCGTGCAGGGCCAGTACGCGTGGGTGGGCCCTGATGGAGTGACGTACATAGTGTCTTACATTGCTGATGAGAACGGCTTCCAACCCACCATCGAGCAAGGCCCTGGAGGCGCCGTCCCGGCCGGCGTCATCGCCTCTCTCGTTGGTTAAATCAATACCTCAACTTTGGCAGTAACGCCATCATGTAAATAGTACAAATTAATGAATGTGTATATAATATTTATATACTGATTCATTAGAATAATTAATTATACGTTTATTTAAAAGACTTTCTATTTTCTTTACTTACGAATTCATGAGAGATCCTACACGAACTGTACCGCTGCTAGCACAAAAAACTTTCGATTACGCATTAGATACAAGAAAATGACTACTTGGCTGGATAATTTTAATACTTACTACTTGGGGGACGCCTATAACCCTTTCAGACGCTTATGCCCGTTTTCAACATCAATCCCTAATTTTTAAGTGACCCCTAGTATGGCAACAAATAACAGGATTTTTGTTTTCATACGGGTCACTTAAAAATTAGGGATTGATGGTAAAAACGGGCATTATTCTTCTAAACGCATAATGAGGAATGCTAACTTATTATACGTTTCTTTGAAAATCATGTTAAAGCGTAACTTACCAAACACATTTTCATGAAAAATGTTGCCAAAATGATATCAACATAATCATAATCGTTTGCATTGTGAAAAAGTTATGACATCTCATATAGAGCCACGCTCCTAACTCTACACGCCCTGCATCTATAACTCCTAAATAAACAAACTCTACCTTAGTCAATGTGACACGGCCATTTCGCTATCATCACATGGCCGTAAGGTGAAAAATTATTAAATAATATATTAATATATTGTGTTTATTATTTTCTTTTCTCTTACACTATAGTCCTGTAAGAACAAAACGGGCAAGCAATGATTTTATCAGTGAGTCAGGGACGAAACCGTGTATTTAAGTCTATTACTATATCCTGAATATTTTCTTTACCTGGTATAATCTAAGCCCAATTTATGAGGTTTGAAAAGAACTAAGTACTATGCGTTTAAAAAAAAAGTGCGTAGTGCCTTAGCGATTCGCTCGGCTCGTCTTGGCGGGGGCACTCCACGAGAAAATGTCCAGGTATTTAGGTCCACCTTCAGCCTTTTATAAAGAATATATAAGAATTGTACATTATTCAGGGCTATTTGTAAACACCAGCAACCGCGCAGGACTAGATAAGTACTTAGCTGACATCATTACCGACTGAAACGAATTATCTGCTACCGATATTTGATATTCTCCCGAAGAATAAAAACTTATAATCAACAGAACTTGCTCCGCGGTGCAGATGACGTGATTAGGATGTGTCATGGGTTCCAGATGTGGCAGTAATGTCATCAGTCTCGAAACTGGCGAGTTGTCACCAGATCATTCCTCGTCAATAATATCATCAGCAGACAAATCCCACAATGCCAATATTATACAATTCACTGGAAATTACGAAGGGTCTTACAAAGGGAATTGAGCGATCTTCACAAATTAACTAAACAACTTAGACGTTCACAGGCAGTTGACATGCGTAAAACTTTTCGGAAACCCAAAAACTGGTCCAGTCAATGTATTCTTAACTTTACCATTTTGAAGTGGGTGGCTGAAACCAACGACATAACTTGCGTATATGTTTTCACAATAATATTTTAAAAATTAAGGCTCCTGAACCACCGGGATCACTTAAAAAAAGAAGAAAAAAGGGTGCATAAATGACATCTAAATATACAGTGTGTCCCAAAAAGTTGTGTCAAGCCGAAGCCCAGAGGTAGAGCTACACTAGGGCTACTCAAATCACCGTGACTTTTGATAGTTTTCGAATTATGATTTTTTGTACAACATACAGGATTTTAGTTTACATTCGTGTTATGGATGTAAATACATCGGAATCAGCTAGGCATACTATTCATCTAATAATAATTGAAAAATCAGGTATGTAACTTGACTATTCGCGCCACAGTGACCAAAAAAGTGCCTAAGCACAGAAATTTAAAACAATCATAACTCGAAAACTATCAAAAATCTTGGAACATACATGGGCTTCGGCTTGACATTACTTTTTGGGACACCCTGTAATATAACTCAAAGGTGACCGACTGACATAGTGATCTATCAACGCACAGCCCAAATCACTGAATGGATCGGGCTGAAATTTGGCATGCAGGTAGATCTTATGACGTAGGCATCCGCTAAGAAATTATTTTATGAAACTCCACCCCTAAGGGGGTGAAACAGGATCCACGCGTACGAAGTCACGGGCGGCCGCTAGTTGTCCAATATTTCTTTAACGGTTAGAAATAGGAGAAAACGTTAAAAGTATCAGTTGTAGAGAACTGTATCACTGTTTTTATAAACTTTCGCGTTCCATTTCAACTGAAATAGAGATACACGGGTCTACGGGCGAGTACATAATAATAATGAGCGACATTTATAAAAAAAAAAAGATTTAGCGGCCGCCCGCGACTTCGTACGCGTGTATCCCGTTTTACCCCCTTAGGGGTTAAATTTTGCAAAATCCCGTCTTAGTGAGCAAATACGTTCGTCGTTTAAAGGAGCCCCTATGTAAAATTTGAGACTTCTAGCACTTGTAGTTTCTGAGATTTCGTGATGAGTGAGTCAGTCAATCAGTGACCTTTCGCTTTTATAGATATTATAGATGTCGCGCTGAGACCCGTGTCTCTATATTTTAATTGCATAACTGGATTCCACAAAACTGGACTGTCGTGAGAACTCACTTTATGTGTGTTTGAAATTCGAACAAATTCAAACGGATCGGTTTTTGCGGGACCCTGAAAACGGGACGTTCGTGTGAACGATAATATTAAAACACGTAATTATTATTAATATTTATTTATTTGGTATAAAATAAATGTTCAATTACACTTCAAAGGCACTAATTACAGCATTTAAATTTTGGGAAATCATGATCGAAAAACGGGAAAAATATTCGAGACTCAATCACTGTGTTAGACAATTAATTAGCCCTATGCCAACAAGTTTACATGGAACCCTCGGTACGTCGGTACGCAAGCTCGACTCACATTGGTCTGATTTATTTTTAACTTTTATAACACAAATATAAAAAGCTGGTTGGAATGATTAATTTGCATGTGCATTTTAATGCAGTTAGGTACCATAAGCTTTTCATGGTTTTTCTAATTGCATAATATGTAAATTAAAATTATCGACGAAATTCTAAGCACCTGCGTAAGGTCAGGACATATCGCAAGTTATTAAACATTTACCTCTACATTGACCTTAACATTTAGATTTTAATTTAAATAAAATTTAGGCTGTGGACATAATATGCTTTATTTTTAAGACAACTTTGTTCCCAATACTACTGTTAAAGGCCGATAGATCTATTCTAATAAATAAAACACTGAATAGGTACTTAACTTTCACATTATATTTACCTCATTTTAAATACGATAATTTAACGTTTATATTTTTCACAATTAACAATACCTACTTACAGGATACGGGGAACTCGGCTCTTATAACCTGAAGACAGATGAGACAACAAGATTGAGGTGAAATACCTACTAAGGTTATGTTAGGTATGTGGAGGGTAGTTGAACGGAAAGCATGGTCGATCTGTTTTATTGCTTTAAATGTACTGACTTTTATTTTTATGTAATGACCTTAGTTTAAAAATGTTATTATGTGGACTAATGTGTAGTGTGTGTAGTGAAGTGATAAATATGCTATGCTATTGTGTGCCGTGTGTCTGCAGCTTTATGACTGAGATTTCTTTAATAAATCGTTAAGCCGTAGCACAGCCGTAGCTTTATAAGCAGTGTCACTTATGTTATCTTCATAGTTTGCAATAGAAAACCACCAAGGAATAGAAATGGAACTGGTAATTAATTTTAAGATATTATTGTTCAATTAATGTTGTGTGCGATATTTGCCTACATAAACCGTAATCTTTTGTTCTCATTATGAACTTTATTCTCATTAAGTAAGCAATTACATATTCATATTATTATAAAAATAGCCATAACTAATTTTGTATGAAGTCCTATATTTAATTAAGTTTGTGTCTTAATTACCTAATCATATAAAATTCATTTTCGACAATGATTTAATTTTAAAGTAATGTTAAAATTATGTTTCACACACGCTCATGTTGCGGAAGTGTAGAAATAACATCATCAAGCATAGGTTTACTGCTTTACTGCATTCCTCAAGTGGCAAGAATCAGAAGCAATTTGTAAATAAAAATTACTAATAATCCTGTTAACCCCTCGTGGTAAGCTAAATGCTTATATTACAAGTGTCGAATACCACAATATTCGAGCCGCGCACGCAGCGGCGAAGTTCAAACCCGCGTTCCTCGATCACGAGTCGACCAGTCCGACCTCTTCACCGTTCGGCTATTGTGGCTTCATGACTAGATTGTAATTAAAATATTAGATATTCTCATTTCTTTCAGGTTATCGTACTATGTCTAATTGGTCTTGCCGCAGCAGCTCCCCAACAAGACAAAATCTTGTAAGTTCAATAATTTAAACTATTTGTCTCTAAACCGTTCCCTTAAATGCATTTAATAATGTACAATTTTTACAAAAAAAATGTGATCATGTAGTAGGTAACTCTATGCATTTACATGAACAGAAATCACGTCTTCGATGATTTTCATTTCGTTTTAAGCATTTTACCAATAAAGTATTCCTTTTCAGCGTCAATGAGAAAGACTTCATCAGTCAGGAATCCATCATTCAAACCGTAAACCACGGTAGCTTAGCAGTTTATGCTATAATAAAAGGAGAAGCCACGTTCGTCGGCCCTGATGGCGTCACCTACGGCCTCACTTACTCCGTAGATACGGAACCCAAATTACAGGAAAAAAATGAGCTACGGGAAAGCGACAAGGAAAAAGGTTACAGGAAAAACTTAAGGATATACGAGTAGACGGGTCGGTGAAGTTTAAGCCTACCATTGCTTGTAGCTGCCATCGGCAAATAATTATAAAGAATATTACATTATAAATAGATTTCTATCATAAACTTCTTGGTTATTTATTTTTACGCATTTAGTTTAAGTTTAGTTGAGCTGTGCAATACCTACATTATTAAGCTTATGATTTAAGCTTAGGTACCTACCGTATGAAGCTTTCTTGCCTCATAATACCACATACTGTGTATAGCTTGTTATGATTGATTCTACGAGTATAATAACAAAAAAACATACACATCCGTTAACATCGTACAAGCTAGAAAATCATGCAGTTAGTATTATTATTCGTTCTATTTATGAAACGCACTATTCGTAAATCAAATATATAGGAGTGAATTCCTGACTCTATCAATTGTCTGACTCTCCAATGACTGTTTTACAATCCAAAATTCCAACTATGACCTGTGAGAAGTAGGCCTGCTTACGAGTACCTACCTAATCTAGGTATTATAAAAATATTGTAATTCTTTTTCGTGTAGGTGTAGGTGGTGACCTACTTATGGTGACTGTAAATCACACATGTGATGTGATGCAAATAAATGATTTTTTAAAGAATATTAGTAATTTATATTTACAATCCCGTTATCCCCCCGTGGTAAGCTAAATATTATATACTTGTGGTACTTGTACGAGTGGGTTCACCACAATAGTCGAGAGGCGCAGGAATCGTACCCGCGCTCTTCAATCACGATTAAACTAGTCCGAAACCTGTTCGGAATCGCCGCTTCAAAATAATTTAATTTGAAAGTTATGGTATATCTATTTGTGTGCATAATTCGATTTTTAGGTCAGAATAATAATTATTTTTGAGGCTAACTCTACGTATCTTAAACAGCTTACCTTGTCCACACTGCTGGATATCCCTCAATGCATGCGACTGGACTGAGATCCTTAGCTATTTTTTGCAATAGCATATAGCTGCTGCATATAGCTGGAGAGCGTCGTGTCCTGCGATTGTCATTTGTCAAGCGACTATACGCCTTATTACAGTTTTCAGTTATTAGTCGGCGCCCTGTAACTTCTTGCCGCTGTAGCACCACAGGGTCCCGTACGTAGTGGCGAAGGTCGATTTAGCGAAGTACCTATCTACGTTTTAGCGACTCATGGTCATGGTGGTAGTGGTACGCTGGAGCGAAAGGCTACTAAAACGAAACACTCCCGGCCGAGAAAGTAATTTTGACGACCTAGAAGATCTTCATTTTGATTTAAGTACTTATATGAAATGTAAATTACGTACCTATATTCAATTTTTAATAATAAAAAAATACAAAAACACATTTTGACTCGGTTACTATGTACGAAATAACATGTTATTTTCATAAAATTAAATTGTTACTAAATGTCATTGATCAACAAATAAACTTTTAATGTAAATAAAAATTAAGCTCTCCTAAGTCAGCAAAGTTCTTTTTCGGCCGCGAGTATTTCGCTTCAGTAGCCTTTCGCTCCAGCGTACCACCATGAGTGTTTTTCGCTAAAACGACCTTCGCCACTACGTACAGGAACCAGCACCACAGGCTTTTAGTTCACAGGTAGTGCAACGGCAACGGCAACTTGGACAGCGACGACGATGGGCTTGGAAATGTAAGTTTATGTGAATGTCGCAGTAAGATAGATAAAGCCGTAATATAGTTATATACCTAGGGATATAATTATATACCGTAACATAGTTATACGAAAGCGATTCATTACTATCTCACTAGAAATATACCTACTTAGTTATAAAACGGCCCAAGTTTAGTGATATACTTATATAACTAGATTGAATGAAATGAACATAACTTTCTGAATCTTCAAATATTGCCAATCAAAATTCAATGCCAACATTTGGAAAGAGTCTTAATTGTCCCATAGACCTTTGAATTGACCTCATAGCGCCAAAGCCTCAGTTGTGCAATAATTAACGTGTTTGTTATTGTGACATAGGGTCCTATCCTAAGCATTATCCTAATCCTGATAACAAAACGTTAATAAATAAACTAGCTGAGTTCATCATCATCATCATTTCAGCCATAGGACGTCCACTGCTGAACATAGGCCTCCCCCAATGCTTTCCACGTTGATCGATTGGTAGCGGCCTGCGTCCAGCGCTTCCCTGCTACCTTTACGATGTCGTCGGTCCACCTTGTAGGTGGACGTCTCACGCTACGTTTTCCGGTACGCGGCCTCCATTCCAGAACCTTGCTGCCCCATCGGCCATCAGTTCTGCGTACTATGTGCCCTGCCCATTGCCACTTCAGCTTGCTAATCCGTCGGGCCTGAAGACGAAAGTCTACAACCATGTGTGTTACCAGTGATAACTTATGGCTCGGAAACGTGGCCTCTCACTATAGGCCTTATACAGAAGCTCAAAGTTGCACAGCGTGCTATGGAGAGGGCTATCAGCTTGGTGTTTCTTTGCGAGATCGAATCAGAAATGAGTTCGTTTACGGATTTATTTAAGAATAAGGTTAATAAAGGTTAATAAATTACTTAAAAACTGATTTTTAATTTGTGGTGTACCACCAAAAAAATCAGTTTTCCTAGAACATAAGTAGTAAGTAGAGTATAAAGGAGTAGGCGTTTCAAGTGGACAGTGGACGAAGACGAACCCATGACCTGAGACAGACGTTTGTGTCATTAAATTATTCTAATTCTATTAGAACAGTAAAAATAGAAGCCAATAGTAAAAAATATTAAAACAGACGTGACTACGACTGTATTCGGAGGAGGGTACAACATATTCAAATTATCAAGTCCTCGAGCAGAGGCTCAGGATCAGACAGTGTGTACTGTGCACTGTGCACTACACAGCACTCTGGGTTCGGGATGATTCGGTAATAAATAAACAATTTATTAATCTTTGACATTATCTTCTACTACACCATTATACCTACCTACTTACCTACTCATTCTATTTGAGGCGGAGAGGAATGCAACAAATCGGGATGGTTTTTGTTTTCACATGAGTGAAAAAAAAATCAAACAAGGAAAACATAAAATATAATAATAATAAATATCCTTGGACATTTTACACTGCGCTTCTAGTCCCAAACTAAGCAAAGCTTGTACTATGGGTACTAGAGAACGGATATAAACATACTTAAATACTTTTTTTTTTTGTAAATACATACTTATTATACATAGAAAACACCCAGTCCAATACAAACAAATATGTTCATGCACACAAATGTTTGTACTGTGCGGGAATCGAACCCGCAACCTCCGGAATAGTAGTCCGTTTCGAACCACTACACCAAACGGCCGACGAAACTACCAAAACTACCAAAAACTCTTTACAACATCAAGACATATTTTACTTGACAGTTAATAACTATGTCAAGTTGACATGGATGGCACAAACGACGTAAAACGTCAACAAACACAAACAAGCTTGTTAATTTCAAAACATAAACCGCAATCTTTGAGTCTATCATACAAATTCAATGTTAAATAACAACATTGCTGGTAAAAATAATCAGGTAAAGCTAAATTTATTTATATGGTACCAATAAACATTATTTCTTTCTTTCAGAATAACGTGAGTATTTTATAAACTACATAATTGTAAATATTTTCGCTAGAACTCACGTGGGCTTGGCACGCTTCAGTATCGAAAATTAGTGTGGGCACTCCTCGCCGCGGGGCCGTGCATTTCCATTGGTACATTAACCTAAGTTCTCCTAAAATTATTCAGTGGGAGCCTGTAGCATAGAATTTAATACTATTTCATCACCATCATCATTTTAACCATAGGGACGTCCACTGCTGAACATAGGCCTCCCCCAATGCTTTCCATGTTGATCGTTTGGTAGCGGCCTGCGTCCAGCGCTTCCCCGCTACCTTTATGATGTCATCGGTCCACCTAATACTATTTAACTGTTTAGAATTTATCCAGCTTACCACAAGATGGGTAAAGCATCAGCATCGACGCTGAATACTGGAGAAATCGTGCTGTCGGCAATAAAAAAACTTATGAGGAATACCGGTTGGACCGCACGGACTATTATCAAGTTTATAAAAATGGAGTACAGAGTTAGCGACCCTAAACTAAGTCGGAAGGTTTCAAGGTAAAACAAAGATAAACTAAAAAAAAACATTTTATTATTTTGTGTACTCACTCATGTAAAATATTAATACCCGAGTAATTTCACATGCGTTATTTATGAAGGTAACAGGAACCTGTACACGAAGATATCCTTATGAATAATAAATAAATAAATATCCTTGGCCATTTTACATTGCGCCTCTAGTCACAAGCTATTAAGCAAAGCTTGTAGGTACTTGGGTACTAGGCAACGGATATCATACCTACTTTAACTTTTTGTTTGTAAATATACTTACCTATATTTAAGGTAGAATTATAGATAGAAAACATCCAGACCAACACTAACTTTTCTCCTCCCTGGCTAGGGGAGACAACAGGACTGGATTTTTAATTATTTTTTATTTTTTAATAATTTCACACAGCGCCAGCTAGCCCCAAAGTAAGCAACTTAATGCTTGTGTTATGGGTGCTAGCTTAACGGATATACTACTTATATACTTTTTTTTTAAATACATACATATTATACATAGTCACACCCAGACCCGTCACAGAAATTAAAATTCATCATTTCAATTTCTGCCCGGCCGGGAATCGAACCCGGGACCTCTCGGCATAGTAGTCCGTTCTGAACCACTACACCAAACGGCCGACTAATGTTTTGAGGACTGCAGTTGTCCCCCTGGCAAACATTATTTAAAAGCCATATATTTTTATAACATTTAAGAAGGTCTGGAGTACCCCTAGCCAGGAGGGACAACAGTGGGCTGAGTGCGAGTTTACATCAAACGAAAAAATGTATGAAAATTGTAGTTTTTGAACGTTTCCCGCTAGTGGCGCTGTACAATCCGTCATACATTTAGAGTAGGCGCAAATCGTTGATTTTTAGTTGGCCGATAGTTGTGCCCGATTTTAATTTGTATGAATAATCGGCCAAATCGAATCGGCGTAGTGTGCGCACTCCCATNCGCAAATCGTTGATTTTTAGTTGGCCGATAGTTGTGCCCGATTTTAATTTGTATGAATAATCGGCCAAATCGAATCGGCGTAGTGTGCGCACTCCCATGCATGCCCATACTGATCAACTGCCCGACTAAACTATCGGCCGACGAAAAATCAACGGTGTGCGCCTACTCTTAATGTAATTTTTTGACGTTTGATGAAAACTCACACTAGGCCCTCAGGACTGCACCAAAATTAGCTGTCATTTGTCTGAGCCAGCGTGTAAGAGATCAGTGCTCAAATTACTTCCCAGGGCGTTGAAACGTGGTGTCAAATTGGGTCTGCTTCAAATGGAGCGTGGCCGCTACAGACTCAACGACATGTCGCGGCTGGCGCGGCCGGTGAGCGCGCGCGAGATCAGACTGCGCCAGCGCCGCGCGCGGCAGAGGCAGCGCGAGCGCCCCCTACACATTCGCAGCCACTCGCCCTCCATCACGTCGGAGCGAGCATACATCAGCTACAGGCGATCTTAATAAATACAATTTTTGTAGATAATACATTTTTCATTTACGTTTATACGCCTTATTCCGATCACCAGTTTCCGAGAAATAATCAGAATAAAAAAATATTGAAAAACAAAAAACCCAACCGTAAAAATAAACTAAAAAGATAGAAACAACACAACTTAAGTATTCACAAATGCAGTCGAAAAAATGCCGGTTTTAGGACATTTCTTGAGCTTGGCACTGAGCAGGCTGGCACCGACTCCGAGAATATCAATCATGGTATANTTTGTTACTCTTTTAAATTTTTATTAAAACTTAATTAAAACTATCGATATTTGTATTTCACATCCCTAGAATACCCACCATACTTCCCTACTTCAGTGCGGCACAGGGTGCATAAGCCTTGTATTTTGAATATAGCTATAATTTTTATACTAAACAAGTTATTCACGAACGCCTTCAGGTGTATGTCAATAAATGCATTATTATTAATATTCAAAGAAAAAAAACACAATATCTATTAACATGAAGCCAAAAATAAAATTTATATATCTTAAATATTACAAGGTCTTTAAGCCTTGTGCCGCCACAATGTAAGTTTTAATACCAGGTTTACTGACCTTGTACCGAAGGAATGGAAAGTATTAGAAAGTTACTGCCGCAGCAAAGGTGTTAAACTAATGATGTATCTTAAGTAACCGTTATAGTTTTCTTTGAAAGTTCATGTAAAGCAGTATTATTACAAATTTTAGTTTTTAGAGGGGGGGGGGGCTCCCTATTCGAACATAAACTAGTACTTTAAACTTTAATAATTTGCAAACAGCTCCCTAAATGGAAAAATAGTCTTAGAAACTATAAGGGTTCCTTGTCAGGACTACGGAATCCTAAAAAAGAAACACACAACAAGAGACGATTTGAGAGTATATCTATAAACTAATGTATGTACCTGCCTAGGTACATACATTAGTTTATAGATATACTCTCTAATTTAACGTAATAAAACAACAAATTAGTATCATTATCTTTTATTTTTATGGCGCTACCTAAAACTGAAGGTTTAGAAAGGAATAAAATGAAAGGAGACTTATTTATAAAAAGGTTATTTATAATTCTTCAACTAAAAATAATGATAACGTTAATATTCATTCCAATCGTTTACCCACACGTACCAACTAATGAACATTGAATCATTATTGGTGTTGTAGATCCAGGCCCTTGCCCTGTGGGTGTATAGTCTGTACTATTATAATCCGTCGATGTTAGAGTGTACTTGACGAGGTAGGTGTAGCCATCAGAGCCGTCTAGGCAATGATATTATATAAAAACAAAAGCAGATATTATTATGTTATAAGCGCTCGCGCTGTGAATACTCAAATACGTCCCAATTGGGACGTCTTGTGTTTAGTCTTCGTGTGGCCTGCGTCGTGCGCAATCGCGTGCGTACCACACCGTAAGTTCCTGTGTTCTTACCAAAATAAACAAAAAATGTCATCGTGTGNAGGCCAGGAAATCTTTAACGTTTTACATAAATATATTGACTTGGCCATCGCATGAAAAACGTTAAATTAAATTATTTAGTGCGATGGCCAAGTCAATAATTTATGTAAAACGTTAAAGATTTCCTGGCCTGGACCATTGAGTTATAATATACTTAATATTACTTCAATGGCCTGGACTTGGTATTACATGGATCTCACAACTTTTTACCGTAGAACAACTGAATTGCGAGACTTGGTTTTTTTGACAAGTATTGTTTTTGATGGGTAGGTATATGCTATAATAATTTAAAAAAAAGCCACTATATTACGTTCAACACACAAATTAAGAAAGAAAAAAGAAACGCACAACAAGAGACGATTCGAGAGTATACCTATAAATTATTGTATTATTTATGTACATGTACCTAGGTACTAACCTTGCGTTCTACTCGGATGCGTAACTAATTTAATAAAACAACAAATAAGTATCATTCTTTTTTATTTTTATGGCGCTACCTAAAACTGATGGTTTTAGAAAGGAATAAAATGAAAGGAGACTTATTTATAAAAAGGTTATTTTTATTTCTTCAACTAAATTAATAATGATAACGTTAATATTCATTCCAATCGTTTACCCACACGAACCAACTAATGAACATTGCATCAATATTGGTATTGTAGATCCAGGCCCTTGCCCTGTGGGTGTATAGTCTGTACTATTATAATCCGTCGATGTTAGAGTGTACTTGACGAGGTAGGTGTAGCCATCAGAGGCGTCTAGGTAGAATTGTCCGGTATATTCAACTGGATTTTTGAGAGTTAACTTGCTGTAGGTACCTCTAGTACGAAAAACTTTCGAGTTCGTTTCGTTGCGTATTCAAAGTGTCATCGAAAAATTTTTTATGAAAAATTAAACAGCGCCCCCTATATTATAGCCGCCCTAGGGGGCGCTGTTTAATTTTTCATACAAAATTTTTCGATGACACTTTGAATACGCAACGAAACGAACTCGAAAGTTTTTCGTACTAGAGGTACTGTTTAGTAACTTCTGAAAGTATGTAGCTGAAAACTTCATATGGGTTTAATTTGAGTAGGTACGAGTATAACAACAAATTGAAAGAAAACCTCCAATTATGTATGGCATTTTTTAATGTATTGGATCTAGATGTGAGTATAAAAGCAAGTTGAAAGAAATAATTATGTTCTGTGTTCGTTCGTTCGTTCGGTTCCGCCAAATGACGTCCACTGAATGACAAAGGCCTCCAAGACTTTCCATAATGAACGCCTCCTACTAGGTGGACCGACGATCTGGTAAAGGTTGCGGGAAGAACCGTGATGCGGGCAGCACAGGACCGTTTTGTGTTACGTTTATTTATTTACAATAGCTAACTTTTTATAGTACTACAGAAGAAATACATTGAGAATATTTCCTATAGAATCAGTTTATAAATAAAATTATAATAAAAAATTCAAGAAATTACAAGTTACTATTGTGCAAATTCTTCTTGAAAGTTGAATCCTTTGTTACAGTTAGGCTGAGTTACACCACCTAACTTTGACCGTAACTATAACGTTAACCATTGTTTTTAACCGACTTCAAAAAAAGGAGGAGGTTATAATATGTTCTGCTGTATGTATGTTTTTTTTTATGTATGTTCACCGATTACTCCGTCAATTGTGGACCGATTTTCAAAATAAAAGGCCAGGCCTGGCCCCCTGGAAAATAACCCTAGATACGCCAGGCACAGCTAGTAAGTATAGTATAACTTTGGCACAGTTACTCTGGATTGTCAGCATAAGAGCTTTTACAGGCCAAGAAGTTCAGCTGGTGATGCCAAACTCCCTCTTTGAGGACATTACGGTATAAAGTTACAAATATCAACACCGACTACAAAGTTCTGCGTAAACACTTGAAATCGAACCCCCTGTAACGCATCGTAACGTTTTACAAGACCCCCTCTCCTCACAAATTGCGTTACGTAACACTAGAACGCCTCCTTAGCAACGAATACAACTTCTTACTATAAAAAAATGCTATTTTTATTTTCACACACTAGAATGGATGATAATGGGTAAAAACCGGGTTTTAACCCAAATCACCCAGTTTTAACCCAATAGGGTGAAATGGGTTTTTACCCACTACCCATCTCTACTGGCAACTAGTGGTGACACTGGTGACTGAGTTTGTTCCGGCGTTTCTTCTCAGCACTTGCCCATAATGTTTGTCTCGAAGAGATGGTAGGGCTCAAAAGATAAGGAGACATGTAAAGTGCCCCTTAAGGGCTACCTTTTTTTTACTGTAGTTTGATTGATGTTCATAAGTGCCACTAGTGGTCAAAATTGAATCCCACCAAAAACGTAAATGTAAAAAAGGAGAGCTAGGTTCAATAGAGCAATTCACGAAAAAGAGCGATTTGCATAACTTTAATACAAGAAACAAAAATAAACTTGCCGTTCCAAATTGCAGATTGCATAAGATTGGTAATTCATTTATGGAAAAATGTATTAAATTCTTTAATAAATTACCACAAACTGTTGTAGAACTACCCATTCATAAATTCAAAGCACATATTAAAAGTACCTTAATGAAAAAGGGCTACTATAAAGTCGATGATTATTTAAAAGATAAAAATGTTTGGGATACGTTACTGCCTAGCTCGCATAAATATTTATAACTTTGTACTTTTAAAGCATGTAAACCTTTGAAAAAGAGGCTGACAATAGTGACTGAGTTTACTGCGCTGCTTCTTCTCAGCACTGGCCCATTTATTGTCCTGAAGCAGTGGTAGGGTTAATACTAGGACGTGTAAAAGTGCTTTTTTTAAGCCTATTTACAGAAATAAATGAGTTTTAATGAGTTTTTAGTTTTTCAATACAAAAATTATGCTTGGCTGTGGGCTTCGTCGCAAAAAGAATGGAGATCTAATAAATGAGTGCCTAAATATATTCGTCATTAATCGTCGTCGTCGTCGTCGTTTCAGCCGAAAGACGTCCACTGCTGGACAAAGGCCTCCCCCAAGGATTTCCACCGCTGATGGCCGCTGGGGCAAGAAAGTTCTTGAGTGGCGACCACGAGCTGGAAGACGTAGCGTGGGCAGGCCTCCCACTAGGTGGACCGACGATCTGGTGAAGGTCGCGGGAAGTACCTGGATGCAAGCGGCGCCGGACCGTCATTAGCATCAAATAAAAAAACTGGTTGAAAACTCGCAAGAAAAAAAATTGAGGCAGTTTTTAAATCAAATTTTGGAAAAAATTAACAAAAACAAAAATATCAATAAAAAAAAACCGGCCAAGTGCGTGTCGGACTCACGCACAAAGGGTTCCGTACCATTGATTTATGAAATTATTATTATTTTTTTAATTTAAGTTATTTGTATGAAAGATTTCGCGGTAATAAGCGGTTACGATTTACGAGGTACTAAAAAAAAACTACTTACTAGATCTCGTTCAAAACAATTTTCGTTGGTAGTTTTTATAGTAATGTACATCATATGTTTTTTTTAGATTTTTCATTTTGGAAGCGTCTGTCACGCAAACTATTCGGTTTAG